GTAAATAGCTAATTACTTAAAATTTTAGCTTATTTTTAATAAGTAATATGAGTTTTGTGTTACCAAACAGATTTAATTCATTAAGTGCTTGAAGTATTCAGTTTTAAATATTAAGTGGTGCTATCAAACAGTCCTTAAGGTGGTGTTTGATAAAACTAAAAACTGAAGTCTGAAAACTGAAAGATAAAGTCTAAAAGCTGAAAGTTGAATGCTGAATTTGTGGACTGTTTAGTATCCATTGAAATTTAAATACTGAATTAAACTAAACTGTTTGATAACTACACAAAGTTAACGTCTAAAAATAAATTAATTTTTAGTTTTACCCTTGCACTCTTTTAATTTAAAAATATTTATAAAATATGTCATAACNGCTTAAAATATTAAGTGATATCAATTTTAGGTTATCAAACGAGTTTAATTTAATAAGTGCTTTAAGCATTCAGTTTTAAGCATTAAGTAGTGTTATTAAGCAGTCTCTAAAATGGTGTCTGATAAAACTAAAAATTGAATACTGAAAATCAAATGTTGAATGATAAATTTTTTAATCCACAAATTGTTTGGTATCTACTGAAATTTAAGTATTGAATTGAATCAAACTGTTTAACAAATAAGGATCTAAAGACTAAAAATTATTATTATTCTAACTTTACCCTTTTTTTTTTAACTATGTCACCGCAACTATCTTATTCCTACTACTATCATTGTGATAGCGGTGGCAGTGATAGCGGTGGTGGTGACAACGGCGAGGGCACAATGGTGGTAGCACAACGACAATGGTGGTGACGATGGCACAATGGTGGTGGTGGTGGTGGTGGTGGTGGCGATGACAGCATAATGGTGGTGGTGGTGGCGATGACAGCATAATGGTGGTGGTGGTGGCACAATAGCGGTGGTGGATAGTGGGTATTGAAAAGTTAAGAGTGTAAAGTGCACTGAGTGTATATTTGTCCATCACGAAGAGTTCATAAAATCCTTACTAACATTTTCAGTATTAAGTGATAAGTAAATAGCTAATTACTTAAAATTTTAGCTTATTTTTAATAAGTAATATGAGTTTTGTGTTACCAAACAGATTTAATTCATTAAGTGCTTGAAGTATTCAGTTTTAAATATTAAGTGGTGCTATCAAACAGTCCTTAAGGTGGTGTTTGATAAAACTAAAAACTGAAGTCTGAAAACTGAAAGATAAAGTCTAAAAGCTGAAAGTTGAATGCTGAATTTGTGGACTGTTTAGTATCCATTGAAATTTAAATACTGAATTAAACTAAACTGTTTGATAACTACACAAAGTTAACGTCTAAAAATAAATTAATTTTTAGTTTTACCCTTGCACTCTTTTAATTTAAAAATATTTATAAAATATGTCATAACATAAATCATAATCACTATTATCATATTGTAGTCTACATTTAACAAATATTTGATAAAAAAATAAATAAATAACATTTGAATAACACAATAAGTGAACAATAACATCTTATCAAAAAAGAAAAAAGAACAATAACTAATATTTGTGTGTAACTATGTATGTGTGCAATGCATGCGTCTGTGTGTGTGCAGTGGGTGCGTCTATGTGTGTGTAATTGTGTATATTTTTGTCGCAGAAAACAAGGGAAGCAAAAAGAAAAGAAGTAGAAAAGAAAGAAGATTTACATGTTAGAGTTTAATGGATAGGTTATGGGTTTTGGAAATAAAACTAATTAGAGTTTTAATAGAATTGTAAAATATTTCGAGGTGTAATTATCATATTATAAATATTATTAAAGATAGTTTTGCTGAAAGCTTTTAACTTTTAGGATTAAATAAGGGATCTCCTACTTAATATTGTAACCTGTTTTTAAGGAACACTTAACATATTAAGAGAGTTTAAATTTAAGTTATTAAATAGACTTAATCAATAAATGCCGAATACATTCATGTTAAGTGCTAAATTTAGGTTAACAAACACACCCTAAGAATGCCTCTGATAGTCTGATATGATATAGCAAGCCCGCATATCAAACACTCAAACGATTGAACACCCTTAGAGCTTAATGTTTGTTACTTGTTCTCGTATGACACCCCATTATCTACTCCAATACCATATCGCGCTATTGTTGGCAGTCGGGTGTATCTTACAGTTACTTACATAGACATCTCCTACATAGTCCACTTTATTAGTCAGTTTGTTGCCTCACCTACCACTATTCACTAGGATGTTGTTCTCCACATCAAAATCTATTATTTTCTTCTTTTTCTTCTTCTCCATCGAATCTCATAGCTTACTCTGTTGCAGATTAGGCAATTGACTCTAGAGATCGCAAGTCCACCACTGTCTTTTATCTCTTTATCTTTGCTCCCTTATTTCTTGGAAAAATAAAAAACAAATTATGGTTGCTCATTCTTCTGCCGAGGCCAAATATCGTGCAATAGCTTCCACCACAGTTGAGATAGTCTGGTTGCAATTATGGTTGCTCATTCTTCTACCAAGGCCAAATATCGTGCTACAGCTTCCACCACAGTTGAGATAGTCTGTTTGCGATGATTGCTTGTAGATCTTGGCATCTCTTTGTCTAATACCGCCCCAATTTATTGCGGCAATAAAAGTGCAATTCAAATCACCCGCAATTCAATGTTTTATAAGCATACAAAACATACTGAGATTGATTGTCATTTTGTGCGTCACCATATTCGATTGGGCACTCTTTCTCTTCCCTTCTTCCTTCTACTATGCAGTTGACAAACTTCTTTACGAAATCTCACACCATTATGCGCTTCCATTTTTTCCTTGGCAAACTCCTGATGTTTTCTACTACCAAATCATGACTTTGAGTAGAGGGTGTTAAAGTATTTTAGTATTAGAGATAGTTTAGTCATTTTCTACCATTGTTTTGCACTACTACAGTAGGGTTTCTCCTTGCATCTTTTATTATGATGTTATAAGCAAACTATTAGCCGTAAAAATACTCTTTCATTTCAACTTTTCTACCTTTTTCTTCTTTCTCGGATCATAGTTTACACTCTCAACTCTTTAAGTGATCTCTCCCATCATCTTCGCCATTAGCAACACCAATAAGGATCTTAAACAAGGAGAAATAATAGAGGAATAAGGAACAAGCAAGCCTTTATCAAAGCAATCGCCCCCTAAACGAAAACTATGCCCTTTTCCAACATTCAATCTCCAATCCACTCTCTCAAAAACCGAATCCCAAAAAGACAATGACCTTGAATTACCCCTAATGGCAAACCTAAACATCACATAGGCCCCTTATGAATAGTACAACCTACTACTAAAAAGAAAAATCTCTCATAGCCTCTAAATTAACGCCTACAACTCCATTTTTCAACATATCAATTTTAAACTGAAAAACTCCTCCAAATTTTTGAAAGCCTTCCATTTCTCCTAAGTAAGCAGTAAATGCAAAAACACTTACACTATCACAGTCCACTCTCATCCCCTCTCTTTTGCTCTAGTGACCGTGCCACACAAAATACTAACCAATAAAGTTAAGAAAACAAACGAATAAAGGATCTCCTCTTCTCAAACCCTACAAGCATTGGACCCACTTTCTAGGAGCTCCATCCACCGACATTGAAAAAGTAGTAGAAGAAGAATCACCCTTAATCCACTTCCTGCCTCTAATCCCATAACCCTTCCGTCTCATCAAATAATCTAGGAAATTCCACTTAAAATGATCATAACACTTCTCAAAAATTCCACTTTGAATACAATACATTTGTTTCCTCTTCTCCAAACATATTCCACCACATCATTCGCCACTAAAAGTTGCATCATCAATTTGTCTATCTAACAAACACACTCTGAGCCATATAAGCTGTATCACCCAAAAACCTCATTGAGTCAGCTTAGACAACACTTTAGTGATAAATGCATTGAGATAAAAAAATCCAACAATAATGATTTACCTTCCACTAGAACCATTTATTTCATATGTTTGTCCAGAAATTTGCTTATTTACCTCATCTACTATATGGTGTGATATTAAATCATATATACCCACGGCAACATAAGTTTCTCTCTCCCACCCTATTTTTCTAGATTCGACATTGTTAATATGATTAGTCTGTCTTCAATTCCACTCAAGAACTCTAATACACATACCTACCTTGCCATGGAAAAATGTCGGCACGTGTCCTTATATACACGTGTAGTAGTGATTATTGTTTCAATTAGCACAACACCACTCAGTTAGAATGTACAAGCAAGGGAATCAATCTTTAACGTAATCAAGTTAAGCAGTACTTCAGAGTTCAGACACGTGAAATATATGGGGTAATGCTACTCTAAACGTTAGCCACAATTGGTTTCTTATCAACATTGAATGACTATTACCCAGCTGGTTCCAGTTACGATTTGGCATTAGTTGCACATTGCATCTGCTTTAGAATTTGAACGTACAACCTCATGGTGTTAGCCAGATATTTTCCTTAAAGCATTAGGCCACTCCCTATTGAAAAGGATTGAAATGAACCCCATATTGAGGAAAATTCAAAAAAAAACATTAGTCCAAGTACCAATAACTGGAATATGAAAAATAAGGATCAAACATGACAAATTTACTAATTGAATAGTGACCCTGTTATCTACAATCAAGAAGCAAAATTTTGTTTTGGTGCATTGTTTCAGTTAGACCAAAACCAAAAACATTTCGAAAAAATTTTTCAAAGAATGTAAACATAAAAAAAATGGATTTTTTTTCCAAAATATTGGTCAAGACATTTCAAAACATCCCAAAACATCGGAACACGTGAGAATTTCAATTTTCCATCATCGGCTCGTTTATGGTGTTGGTGGAACCAAAATATTTTGACCATTTCTGTGGAAACGAAACAAAACTTTGATTCCTTCTCCCCACCAAAAGCCAGACAGAACCTTCCTTGTTTCATGAACATTAATTGGCATGAAGACATAAATTGTAACCTTGTTGAATGTATAGTCCCACATTTGTTACATAGATATTTTTCTGTCCCATGGCCAACTATTAATATGTCAGAATTTTTTAACGCAACCCATTTGTGATTATAGATATTGTTTGGAACTGTATTTGGAACCTAGTTAGATACAAGTTGCAATAATATCTTTTTATGTAACTACATACCAATTTTCTCCGGTTCATCTGCCAATGTTGAAGCTGTTCACGCGGACTATTCCAATTGCTACTATTACCCGAATCAGACAAGCCGTCATCTATATCCATTGGTTCCCTCAAATTCTCGTCATCCATGGTTTCATTTTCCTTTAGGGTAGATAAAGTCCTACAATCAAGGGGCTTACAAAGACCAAAATCTGACAACTTCATGTGCCCATTTTTGTCAAGAAGAAGATTATCAGGTTTGATATCCCTGAAAAGTAAATAGTGAAGGTCATCAAATAATCAGTTAGCCTCACATCACACTACAAAATGCAACTATCCATGCACTAATTGGTTACAATGTCAGCTGGAGCTGTATACCAAACCTGTGAATATAATTATGTTTGTGTATGGACTCAATGGCCAGGACACTTTGAGCTACGTAAAATTTTGCCACACTTTCAGATAATGTATCTTCTCTCATCAGCAGAGTCATCATGTCACCACCAGGAAGATATTCCATTATTAGATATAAGTACTCAGTATCTTGGAATGAGTAGTACAATTTTACTATGCAGTGGCTGGCCACTTCTGCCAGCAAGTTCCTCTCAGCTCTAACATGTTCCACCTGCGGTAAATACAAATTCAAAATAACGTGTTGAACTACATATTGGGGAGAACATAAATTAGACAGTCAAAAACCCTGATTGAATTTGCATGTTCAGCATAAAAAAACCCATACTAATTCAGGAATGAACATTGACATGCATTTTTTGCAAGGTCGACATGTGTAGCAGCGAACATCTGCCAACCCACTTGCCAAAAATTCTTTTATCAATTAGGAAAAAATTTGCATTCATTAGTCTGAAATTCTGAATGAAAAACGTAGGAATACCACTTATCAGAAAGAGAGGGAAAACCTACCACTAGCTCCCAAAGTATGAAAGTAAGCACATGGACTAACAATCATAATTCATGATTTAAAAAAGAGGATTTTTTTTTGAAGTTTAAACCCTCGACCTTAAGGGCTAACAGTGAAAGCGGTGGCCATTAGGCCAACCCCTAACCTCCAAAAAAAAGGGTTTAGTAGACTTGAAATTCCTTTTCTTTATATTCATCTTCTTTCTCCTTTTGAGGACTCCTTGTCCTTGCATGTATATATTATATTTGCTATTTAATGCAATTCCACTGTTCCTATCAAAAAGAATAAAGCAAACAAGCAAAAAATAGAATCAAATCATTAATAGTAAAGCGTAGCCAACAATACTCCATGTTGGAAAGTACATCTCGAAGAATAACATAGCAGGTTGTAGAGTCATCGAAGCACCTAAATGGATGACTTTAATTAGGTCATATGCACCAGAACATCAAAAAAGCAAGGAAATCTACAATACAGAATTTGTCCATTCAAAAAGAAAAAAAAACAACACAGAATTTGGATCCTGATAGAAAGACCTGAGTCGACCTTATCAATAATTTTTTTTGTTCACATGGGTCTCCAAACTCAGACTCCATGGTCACCCTAGAGCAAATTGTGCAGTAACAATATGTATAGTAGTCATGGTATTCAATAGTTAAACTAATAGAATAAGGACTTAAAGAATGATTCCCTACCCTTGATAATGTGAACTCTGGTAGGAAATATTGATATAGGTGGGAATGTTACTTCCCCTAACTACTCATAGTGTAACCTCAGTTGACATCTAATAAAAGACTGGCCTATACTGATGTGACTCCCCAGCCTGAAAAGTCATTTGTATACAAGTGAAAGACTATGGAATTTTTCAATCCTTATAGTTGTCAAATCGTGATTCGTATCGTGAATCGGAATTCTAAATTTGAGAATCGTAAATTGTAATATTCGATACAAAATTTGAACAAAAATAAAAAATAATATTACATATTTAAAATAGACAAAATATTGAATATTGAACATTATTGCATTCTAAAAATAATCAATTGGTATAATCACGTCGTCTAAATAGAAAAACACTAGCATTTTACTTAATTTTCATCTTTTTGGTTTAAATTCAACAACTTGAAAAAAAAAATTCATTAAAAAACCATGACTACTCAAGAACTAAAATAGTGACACCTAGTATAGATTAGGTTACAAACATGAATGAAAAAAGAACAAATAAGAAAATTGATTTAAAAAAAAAACATACAAGCCAACATTTTTAAACAAAAAATTAGAACCTAACAAATTACCCATGAAAGAATTGAGGGCAAAAATCAATCGATGATGCGAGAGCATTAGCCATGACCTTTAACTTTAGACAATGCAGAGTGAGCTTTAGACGACGTCAGAAAGAGAACGAGCAAAGAGGTTGAGTTTTTATTAGGGCATGGATTCCTCAGCAAACAAAACGACGTCATTTTACTGTTTAGTGGACAAAACGATGTTATTTTGCCAAATATTTGAGTTTTAGAAAAAAAATATGATTCAATCGTGTAATTCATGCGATATGAATTAAATTGTACAAATCGTGCAATTCAGGTGCGATTTAACTCTGAAACAATTCTTATATAAGATACGNATGGATTCCTCAGCAAACAAAACGACGTCATTTTACTGTTTAGTGGACAAAACGATGTTATTTTGCCAAATATTTGAGTTTTAGAAAAAAAATATGATTCAATCGTGTAATTCATGCGATATGAATTAAATTGTACAAATCATGCAATTCAGGTGCGATTTAACTCTGAAACAATTCTTATATAAGATACGAATCGTTTTATACCTGTATCAAACTGAATCGTACGAATCGAATCGCAAATCGTACGATTTTAATAACTATTCTTAGAGCATATGCTAAGCACCAGTGTTGTGAAAAGCTCGACTAAGCGAAAAGCGAAGAGAAGCAAGCCTTGATCATCTTGATCATCTAAGGCGAAGCAAGGTTAAGTAAAGCGAGAAAAAAATGCGCTTAGGCAATGAAGCGAAGAAGCGAGCCAGGCGAGAAAAGCGAAGGCNCCTTGATCATCTTGATCATCTAAGGCGAAGCAAGGTTAAGTAAAGCGAGAAAAAAATACGCTTAGGCAATGAAGCGAAGAAGCGAGCCAGGCGAGAAAAGCGAAGGTCTAACTGCAATTCTTTTATTTTCTCCTCCTCCTCCTCCTCCTCCCCCTTTAATATTAACCAAACCTTAGCAGAGATGATGTTATATGTATATATGTATAGAATAAATTGATTAATTCGTGTAACAATATCATATGACAATCTGTTTTATTATGATTAGATAATGTTGAATGCTTTATTTTGATGTGAATGCTTTTATTAATCAATTTACTTGGTTAATCAAATTGATTAATCAATTTGTTATATGCTCTATTAATTTGATTAATCAATTTGTGAGTGTTATGTTTAGTGGTGATATTAATCAATCACGGTAGAAATCGAACCCACATTTGTTAACTTTACATTTAGATGACGTGATTAGGTCAATTGATTATTTTTAAAATACAATAATGTTTAATATTTAATATTTTGTCTATTTAAAATATGTTGATATTTATTATTTTAATTGCATTTAAATATTTTATATTTGTAAAGTTAAAACTTGAATATTTAGGAATAACCAAGGTATGAAACTAAAATATTTACTTATTTTTTATATTGTTCGCTTTGCTTCAATGAAGCGCTCGTTTCGCTTCTCGTTTTTCGCCTCTCACCTCTCGCCTAGGCCCTCAGGAGGCCGGTTCGCTTTGATTCGCTTTACACCTTAAATAACACTGCTAAGCACCCTTAAAATTGTTATGAGCATACAATTTGACATCCTTTTTGACATTTGATCTCAATCCACTAGTAAATTCAATAGATTTGAAACTTGAATAAATAAAGAGGAAGAAAAACATGATGAAAAAAAAGTGTGCGGGGATGTGTATTACCTACACCCTATAACCTATTTATATTAGGTTGATATTGAGGACAACTATAATATTAGGAAAGTGAAAAATAGGATAAATTGCACCAATGGTCCCTATGGTTTGTCATTTGTTGCATTTTCATCCCTAAACTTCTAATTCGTCAATTTCATCCTCAATATTCACATATTGACTCACTTTAGTCCTTACCCCTAACTTCTGTCTAAAAAAATAAAAAAAAAAAGTGATGAAAAATGTCATGTGCCAAGCACATAAGGTTATTAAGGGACATTTTTTGTCATTATACTCTCAAAACATTGGGCATAAATAAGAAAATAAAATAGTTTCACAAAAAGATAAAAAAAATGTTACTCTCTCTCTCCAACCCCATCTTTCTCTTCTACCAACAACCACCTCATTTCTCTCTATCTCTCTCTCTATGTGCAAGATTCCATCGCTGAAATCGACCGCCACTATCCACTATTGCCAGAATCGACCACCAACAACGGCTAGCCCATCAACGATGACCAGTCAACCCAGGTGATCTCTATATCACTCTCTCTCTTTATCTCACCTCTCCTTCACACACACACACACAAACACTCGACACACGTACATAGACCATACAAACACACAAACCAGCATAAAGAAAGTAACAAAGACTTTTGTCTACCTTCACCTCCATCTTCACTCACAAGCCAACCTAGTAAAGCCAACCTCTATCACCACAAATCTCGCTCCCACCACCACTATACTAGACCCATTAATTCTCATGTCCCCAACAAAATTTTAGAAAACAAGACACAATTTAGGAGGGAGATCTATAGAAAGATTCACAATCAAAATTCAATTGAGCAATACCCAATTCATGCCTAATTCTTCATCGATTCAAAATCCTTATTGCCAGCACAGCAGTCGTCGATCTTTTCCACACCGTCTCTAGCAAAAAATACATCACTCCTGTGCATATCTTTCTCTCTTTGCCTCCCCCTCTCTCTATCTTTTCTATTGTGTTTGTGTTTGTGTGTGTTAGGGTTTAGATGTGTTGGGTTTGTGTTGTGGATGTGTATTTGTGATTTTCTGTTGTGTTTGTGTTAGTGTTAGGCTTTAGATGTGTTGTTTGAGGGGTGGAGATGCAATTACGAGAGAAAGATAGAGAGAGAATGATGTATGCATTTGTGAGGGAGAAAGAAAGAAGGATGTCTACCTATGTGAGTGAGTGAGGAGACAAAAGAAAGGAAGAAGGTGGGTGTTTGGAAATATGTTTAATGTATACATATAAAGGATAATTGTGTTGGAGTTATAGCCTAGTTATTAGGATATTTGATTTTTTTATCTATTTTGCCCTTACTATGATTTTTATGTCTTACCTAAACCAGAGGAATGTTCCGGTAAGTTGTACTCTTATTTGGCTATGCATACAGGGCTCTGCACTCAATTTGTGCAAACTTTTCAGTCCCAATAATTCTAGTCTATCAACATGGGGCCGAGCTAGCACAACCTCTGCAATCCTCTTACTCTGATTATAGATCACCTAGCTAATCATATCAATCAACACAATCAAAGAGGCATTCATATTTGTATCCATATAATTATAGTGAAAATTACTTACCGAACTTATATAATTATCATGGAGACAATAATAATGAATTCAAGCCTCATTGTCATTCAATGTGACACTGATTTTGGCTCAGTATGATCTCAAATGCTTACATTAAATATAGATGATGACAAATATTTCCAATAGCACCCTTACAATTATTTTTTACAATGAGTAATGTGTTAAATAATGCATTTTGGGGATATGATGCAAGGATGATGAAATTTTCATTTATTACAATTTTCATGAATTTTTCAAATATTTTTCAGCCTTCTATATAGCGTTTTGAGCATATTAACTGATACCACGCCGCAATCGATGTCTCAGTGGCCCGCCG